TCTGAAGTGAAACACAAAGATGGAACAATCATCGTACTCTGTGTGACGTTGCGATCGCAACAATTAATGCAAATTCTGCACAACCTTGCAGCTGTAGTTTGCTTTAAGTTTCAATAATTAAAGCAGCAGCATAAACACTGATCCACATGTCACCAAACTATTAGAGATTTTATTCTCACTGGAATAACAGAACAAAAAAAAAAAAAGCTTTCTAGCCCCAAATTTTTTTTAAAAAAGAAGCCTGAAAACATACATCACAATCATTTTCAGAAAAGCTGGTAAGAATCAGACATTTTATGCCTCAACAATCCCAAAAAAGCCTCCAAACTCCTGCTGCTCAAAGTCTTGAGCTGTGAGAGTACCTATTCTGGAGTAGGAGCTAAAAGCTAAAACTGCTTTCTGTTTGTTGGAGACACACAGAACGGGCTGTCTCCAACTGCTCCTTGAACTATCAAACGCCTCATGTTCACTGGAGATTGTTAAAAGTATTCTGGGAAATGTAGGAAATCACAACCTGGAGTCGAAGCTAATGAGACAGGCAGAGAAAAACAAGAAGAATTCATCATCAGATCTGTTGACTCAGGTCTGATGGAGCTCTGCTGTGGATAATAACTTGTCCTTGGGGCAGCATTACAGAAACAATAAAGGATTCATACAAACAAAGCGCTCACATCGATCTGTCCTCTCGTGTGTTTTCTCTGATCGTTTGCCGGTGAATCAAACAGGAATAACGAGCTCAGACAAAATGCACCGCGGCCTCTGCGTTCTGCTGACTCTGCAGTTCTCAGGACAATAACAGTAACGGCTAACGGAGAGCGTTTAGTCTGAACAGTGATGGGAGACTGATGAGGGCTCATCTGTGACCTTCAGCTCACAATGAGATGCACATGAGGACGCCAGCTGCTGCTTTATCTCATCCAACAGATACAATAATCTGTATTTTAGGAATATTCTGGAAGTTTGTGCTCATTCTTCCTACGTTCTCACTCCTGAAGACAAACTTTAAACACAACACATCAGAAATGAGACGGCGTGTGACAGAAAGCTGCTTCAGTTATTGAACGGGACGGCCTCGCCGATCAATCAGCTGACCGTCGCTGCGATGGAGAAGCAGTCAGCTGTCGGCGGCAGCGAGAGGCCTTACAGAGAGCCCGTCCCTCCATCATTATCCTGATGCAGCACAGCGAGGCGGGAGGTCCGGACCCTCATACTGGATGCTGGAGGAGGGTTTTGATTTGCTCGGTGTTATGCGGATGAGGCCGTGGCTCTCTCTCGGGGGATTCACACTGACACGGTTTTACCAGATTTCTCCAGCGAGGGTCGTTGGAAATGTGATTCAGGGGTCTCGGGGGAAATAAGCATGCAAGGTGCTGCTGCTGTTTGCCCGTCAGGCAAAGTAATATCCTCAGCCCGTTAGACGCAGAAATAATCTGCACGGGGCCGAGCTGAGGGATGCCTGTACCCCCGGGACTGTGAGCGCCGCCTGGGGAGAGTCTGCCGGGGTTTACGAAGCCATTGTCATGCTCAGAGTCAATGTCCTCACAGACAGATGGTGGGCAAGAACTAACAGCCGCTCTGTGAGGACGCACTGCGACTTAAATGCTAACATCAGCATGCTATTATGCTCACAATGACAGAGCTAACATGCTGATGTTTAACAGGTAAAATGTTCACCATCTTAGTGTAGCGTGTTAGCATGCTAACATTTGACAACTAAAACAAAACAAAGTAGGACAGAGCTGTGAACAACACACGTCCTCGATGACGTTGTTTTTGTCCCTTTGTTGGTTCTTAAAGCTGCAGTGTGTCACGTTAATATAATATAATATTCACAGGTGTGTTTTCTTTAGTGTTTAATCAGCTGAAAATAAGAATCAATATGTTACCTTAGAATGAGACATTTTTATCTTCAGAATCAGAATCAGAATCAGAATCAGAAATACTTTAATAATCCCCGTGGGGAAATTACTTAAAACTGGTGGAGTCCGCCATGTTTCTACAGTAGCCTAGAACAAACAAACCAAACACTGGATCTAGAAAGGGGGACGTTTTTGTGTGCATGATGTGGCCACCGTAGTTTCTGCTTCGATACATTAATAGCACCGAGCAAATTGCGTCGATACGACCGAGTATCAAAGAATGACCAACGGCTAGTGATCTTCTGAACAAAATTATAGTAATTCTACTGTAATGTATAATGATTCAATATAACTAATGATATCAGATTCACGCTTTCTTACCAACAAAAGTACATTTAAGAAAAAACAAACATTCCTTTATTTCTCAAACATCTGCTAAATATATTTTCTCCTGAACTTCCTTCTTCAGATTATAGAATCGTTTTTATTTAAACTGTGCAAAACAAAGCAGATTTCTTTTTTTTTTTTTATCAAAGTGAACCTTTGGTCTTTGAGCCTTGATACCACCATCCACAGTGTTGTTATATATCTTTACATTTCCACGTTCTTCTCAAATCAGTTTTTCATTTTAAATGTCACAGTTGTTTGAACGTGGTCCAGTGCATCAAACTCACCTTATTCATAATGTCCCTCAGATAAAACAGCCTGACATGTTGTAATAAACACATCCAATATGGAGTCTTATGGAGACTGACTCACTGCTGGAGCCTCTAGCGGACGTTAGAGGAACTGCAGGTTGCTGACTGATCTAGACCTCTGTTGGTCTTCCTCGCTCTAACTCTGGCTTGGGTTAAAAATAAGAAATTTAAGCATTAAATGTAATTAAATGTATCATTGATTGGTCAGATATTTACAACAAATGTGTTAATTAATCCTTAAAATCTACTTTTTAAAAGGTTTTAGATTTTCAAAATGGAAATGAAGGAATTTTGATTTAACAAGTGTTTTCAGGGATTCATTGTATCATAGCGACCGATGTGGAACAGATCAGCTCAAATCTCCTTCTCCTCCTCTTCCTCCCTCTTTACATGATGTCTTTCATGTCTGTCTGCACATGAACTTCCTGTCAGCAGCAGTCAGACTGGCTCTCTACTGCCCCCTGCTGTCAGCTCACAGCAGATGCAGGAAGATATCCCAGGTAGGTTCTCATGTTAAATATGGAGTCAGAGATCGAAAGAGAAGAAGAGCGTAAGTGTGGTTGTAATGGTGTGTTGAGGGGGGATGTATAAAAGGTTAAAGAGCAGAACATGATGGATATGATCTCATTAGAGGAGGGAAGCCGGGCTTTAATTTCCTCTCTGTGCTTCATCTTTATTACGGTCAGACAGCCGATCGATGGTCGGACCTCCAGCACAAAAGCCGAACAGGGAAATCAGATCAGACCACAGATCTGGATTTATAGGGGCTCGGGGGGTCAGGGTTGGGTTCAAGGACATGCTGGCAGTGCAGGGATCAAACCTGTGTGTCAGAACCATAATTTCTGTGTCATATTATTTAATTATTATGACTTTTGATGTGCAACTCGGCAGAGATGAGAAGGAAACAGGATGCCTCATTCGTTAACTACTTTAATCATCAGCTTGGAATAAAGATCTACTATGCATTCTTTTATTTTTTAATGCAGAAATAATTTCATTCTCAGTATTAACATTAATAATTTAACAGAGCTGATGGAAGTAGCTAACGGTGACGGTGCTGATCTGTGTATTTGTCCTTTTTCCTCCATATTGATGCTACCATAGTTCAGTAGGCTATGGAGTTAAATGCTTTCTTTCTTTTATTTGTGTTTATAGTTTTTATTTTGGACTTTTTGGTGTAACGTGAAATACAGTCCGCAGTCCTGAATCTCTTCCCTAGGATGGCGAAGGCTTGACATAGTTTGCAATAAGGAATATAATAAGGAATGTGGCTCCATATTGATTATTCTGTGTCTAATGTTAATTTCCTATTGATCATTGCTGCCTGAAGTCAGGGTGCAAACACTACTGGTACATTATTGTTTGAACTAAATACACCTGGTTTTAGTTTTAGTTTTAGTTTTACTATAACAACCTTTATACCCTCTTCTACAGGCACCGTTACACTGCTGGTGGCAGCTAACGTAGCCTGCAGCAGATACAGACGTCTCTCACCCACAGATTGTTTCATTTCCAAACGTAAAGCCAACCAGCGCTGACTCAAGTGACATCACCTGAGGACATTTATCACACACACACACACACACACACAGCGAGACTGGTCGGCCCACACATGGAGGCTAATTGCCATAATTTCGTCTGAGCGGTTGACACACGTCCGCCTCACTGCTGAGGCTGCCCAGACGGTGTCAAAGGTCAGGTCCAAGCTCAGCGCTGTGAGTGGCTGACCCCGCCACTCAAACCGAGCAGGACGAAAACACGTCTGCATACAGAACATTACAGCCTCGTTCTGATTGATTTGTTTTCCATCCTTTACTTTGTGTCTTTACTTTCACTTAATACAATTAACTGAAGATTTTTGGTAAACAGATTGATTTTAGTGACAGTCCAACAGGAGTAAAAACTCCTTTGTGTTGTTTTTATTTATTTTGTCCCCTGGATGCAAGTCAGGCTTCCCATCTGGGAGAATATATGACTGAACTCAGTCTTTGATGAAGACGAGGTTAATTCAGTTCTTCAGTGGGTGGGGGGGCTGAGGGGGGAGGTGGGTGACAGCACCGCCTGAGGCTGATTAAAGTTGACCTTGGGTGGGTGAGGAAGAGAAAGATTGAGAACTACTGACGGAGGAGAAGACTAAAGGGAATCAATGAGCAGGAGATCAATGACTATCTGATTTTTTTTATCACTAATTTTGAAGAAGAGATGGAGACATCATTGATCCTCTGATCGGTTATTGCAGGTTATTAATTGAGAAGAAGTGTTCAGCTGACCGATGGAGGACATCCAGCCGATGAGACTGAATCTAAATGAGTGGAGGAGGAGAAACAGAGAGGATTGTGGGAAGGCACAGTAAACTGAATCTCATTTGTTCAAAACAAGACATTGGAAGACGCCAACTGAGACGGGCATTTTATAACAAGATATCAGTGTCACACAGCATTATGGGATGTGGTATTGTGAAACACAGATCAGAAACGTTCCATCCTCTCCGTGTTCGACATCCTGGTGATGGAGGACAAGCGCTCGGAGGATCAGAGTTTGGACGCCGGTCTCTGCCGACTGGCGGCCGGAGCTGTGCCGATTGGCGCCGGTCGACCCCAGAGGCGGAGCCGGCTGACTCCTCCGTCCGGGCTGATGGTGAGACGGACGTGAGTGACGGGTCGGCTCACAGTCAACTCGACCTCACTGTAGAGATGTCTGTGGTGAGGACGGAGCTGACGGGGAGACAGCAGAGAGACACAGTTCCTACACAAACACTCTTCAAAGGTTAATTCTGCTGTTTCCTGTTTTATTTTGTAATGACTATAACAATAACTCCTTTTTGCTTGTTTGAATTCACTTCCTGTCTTTGTTGGTTTTTCCTTCAGTTTTGATTTTCATTTCATTCTTTTAATAGAAAGAATTGAACGTATTTATATAAAATGAGCAGGAAGTAACAGCTCTGTGAGAGAGCTACGGAGCAAGCAACCCAATAACCTATGTTATCAACCTCTTTGCAATGAAACCAGAGTTTACTCATTTAAAGTAAAAATCCATCTTATCCTGTAATTATGTCTAATTACGTTCTTCTCCGAAGCGGTTTTAAAGCGGCTGTGCCTGTAGCAATGCGTCCCTAATCTCTCACTGTGTCCTCCTGAACTAAGGTATGCAACCTTAAGCACCTGTGTAGACCCGTCCCACTCTGCCTCTGATTGGCTTGTGTTCATTGCCCTCGTTGGTTAGGTTTAGGAATGAGGAGTTAGATGGTCAGAGCCAATCAGAGGCAGGCGGTAGGGGCGGTGATAAAGAATTAACTTTAAATTAACTTTACTTCGAGAGCTAAATGAAGTGATTCCACAGATAGAGCAAACATACTTTCTGAGGGGGAAGGAGGACCTCCCATTTCCCAGATTTCCACCTTGTCCTGATGCACTCAGCTTCCTCCTCTGGGGTCAAAGAACGGGCCTCGATCCTGCAAGAGTCCGGGAAGTTACCTGTGTGGAAGAACGCCGGTCAGGTGTTATTTTCATGCTCATGAATAAAAATTCAAGACCTTTTCGAAGAAGACACTCAAGGTTTGTGTCGACCTTTGAAGTGGTTGGTGTCGACCTCGATGCTGCTGATCACTCCGGGATGACCGAGACGAAACACGGCCCACTCCCAACCGGGGACCTGCAGGATCCCCTGCTGGTCCACCTGCGAGACAG